TCCCTCAGCAGGGGGCCTTCACGGGGGCAGTTCAGTGCAGTGTGCCAGGCACCGGCCAGCACCCCCGAGTACTCACTCAGTCTCACAAAACCCTGGAGGGCAGGCTGTCCTACCTACAAGAGGACACGGGGCCTCCAGATGAGACACCTGTACAGGTACATGCCGGGCAGGGCAGAGCCAGGATTTGAACCTCCATCTCTGTCTGTACCTTCTCTTAGGGCCTCAGTTTCCTTTCTGTCAGGGGCAGGGGTCAGCCTAGGTGATCTCTGAGCTCCCTCCCAGCTACAGAAATGGAAGGACATGTTTGCATAAACATGCTCCGTGCCCAAGCATCCAGAAATGCTCGCATGCCACGCTGGAGGCCCCGCCCCTCACCAAGGATGCGGAGGCAGCGCCTGCTGACCGCCCAGCCAGCCACTGCCTGTCACTTCTCCTGTCCCTTAGGCATGGCCGTGGCTGGGAGGAAAACCACTGCCTGGCCTGCCCGGGCCCTTCGTCCTCACCTGGAAGGACTCCCTCCAGGTGGACAGGGCATCTCTGCTCCCCTCCCTCTCCACATGGCCCCTCCCCCTCCGTGACTTCTCTTTGCCTGGACAACCTCTTCTTTCCCGAAGAAGCCTTTCTCTCCTTTCCACCTTATTCCAGCCTCTCCTGCCTCCCAGGTGAAACCAGCTGGGATCCGGTATCCCCAAGGTCACAGATGCTCCGGGGCAGAGGGACTCCCAACTTCAGCTCCTCCGCCCCTGCGTCCCCTCCAGAAGGCACCCAGCCTTGAACATCCCAGGCAGAGAGAGGATGACTCGCCGTCCCTCTCCCTGCATCCATTCTCATAGAATCCTCCTTATCTACCCTGTGAGCAGGTGACACACTCCCATTGGACAAACAGAGGCCATAGAGCTCTGAACGGCCACAGCGAGGCCACGGTCACACAGCCCTAAGCAGAGGAGGCGGGATTCAGACCCAGCACTGTGTGTCTCAAGGCCCACACACTCTTCCCACGCACCAGGTGCACTAAACACTCCAGCTCATGTTTCCAAGGGCAGTTTGAGTTGCTAGAAAGAGGACAGACCTCGGTCCTCCTCCATGGAACCTCCTTGCCCATCTACAAGGCTGGGGCAGGACACTGGATGCCCCCAACATCACTGTCACCTGGTTCAGGGTGGAGCCAGACTGCTCTTCCCCTGGCCTTGGACTTGGGACTCACTGGACACCAGGAATCCCGGATCCAGTCACTGAGCCCAAGGCCTGTGTCTGTCCTGGGCAGGGAGGAGGGGAGGGCTAGCCCTGCCCCCAGGGCCTCCGGCATCAGAGAGGGTTGGGTAATCCTGGCAGCTTTCTTTGCCAACAGAATCCCAGTAGGACTTTCCAAGAACCCCATCAGAGAGAGAAGGTGAGAGATAAGGAGAACACACATCCCAGGATGCCCTGCACCAGGGCCCTGAATTCTCAGACAATGAAGAGGATACAGCAGCATCCTTCTTACAGTCCCTGAGGCCCCAGGGGGGGGGGG